GTTTGAGAAGAAAAAAAAAAAGAAAATGTCATAATGGATAAAATTGAATATAATTTGTATAAATGTTTACATTGGTTAACAAAGAACCAATTTATTTATTAGATATATATATATATATATATATATATATATATATATATATATATTTTTTTTTTTTTCCCAAAATGTATTGCCATTTCTTGTGAACTTATAGGAACTGAAAGAAAGGAAATTGCAGGAATTGGAGCAGATCCTTTTTGTTTTAATTTTTTGTTTTTATATTTTGGCAGTACTTATTTTGTCCATTATCTACCATTGTTATTTCAACCATTTAAATTTTTTTATGTTTTTATGCAAAGATGACAGTTTTATGGTGATAAGGTACACATAGCTGTCTGCCTGTGTTTCAAAGGCAAAAAAAAAATTAAAAAGAAAAAAAAACACATCCAACCATTGCCATTTCTCAATACATCCGGCTCTGCAAGGCAGAATGAAGTATTATCTTTGAGAAAAAGAGAAGCGAAAATGATAGAGAAGTTACACTTGTGGTTCTATTAGGTACAACAAAAGAAAAAAGGACAAAAAATTAAAACATGTACATCGTACATCCACAAACTCGACAAGGTAACATTGTCTATATTCTTCTCTTAACAAATGTTATTGTAGTTTCTTTTCAATTTAATGTTGAACTAAGGTTGCAGTGTCCCTAAATTTTAGCACCAGCAACCAAACAATGAAAATATGCGAACATTTTTCCCCAATTTTTTTTGTTTTTATTTTTATGCCAATTTTAAACCCAGTCTTGGAAAAAATAAAATAAAATAAAAAATAGAATAAAAACAAAAAATATATTTAAGCTTTAGAAAAAAAATATTTAAAAAAGACATTTAAAAAAAAGAAAAAAAAGAGAGATGAAATTTTGTAGTGAGGCATACCCAGCATTGACAAACCCAAGAAAATAGATTAAAAAAAAACCTGGAAAAATTGCAAATTGAGAGTAAGATTGAAGTTTTTTTTTATGGTTAGTTGATTTTATATATATATATCTATATATAGAACAATTTTGGGGGAAAGATATATGACAAAGTGGAAAGTTTTCATGTGATGCATTTTGTCCTTTAGGACTTCATCAGACTAAGTTTCTTTACATTGATGCGTCTACTCACCCTCATGAACGAGAGATGCTGACAATTTTAAATTTAAAAATATATATATTTTTGTAATGTTTTGGAGTATATAATCTAGCCAATTTAATTTAGATTCTTTTTCTTAATGTTTCTATTACTTTTATTATTAAATATCTCACAGTGTAATAATAGAAGATCTGCCAAGAACTTTATATAGTGTGGGATATTTAATAACAAAAAGTGATGGAAACATAGACATAAACAAAAAAGAAAAAGTATGTACATTAAATCAGCTAGATTATATATATATATATATATATATATATATATATATATATATATATATATATATATATATATATACCAAAAAAACATTAAAAAAAATTATTTTTAAATTTAAAATTCTCATCATCACTAGTTCATGTGCATGTGTTCACATCAACATAGACAAATTTAGCCTGATGAAGTCATAAAGGATAAAAACCTTTTCCACTTTACCATACATCCTCCCCCAACATATATATATATATATATATATATATATATATATATATATAGAAAATTTATGATTTATCAAAATTTATGCATATCAAAAACAGTGGATAAAGGAGTGGCATATGGAACAATTTGTAAATGCTTCTAAAGAAGCTGTTTGAAATGATGTGCAAATTGGGTAGCAGTCTGCAGCTCTAAGGGTGTTGATCTCAGATTTGGCTAATATTTCATCTTAAAATGACAGTGTATTTTTCTTCATTAAAATAATTTACAGACACATAGAGAATGAGGAAATATTACTTTGGTGTTATTTGCTTAGCATTTATAGCCTCTGGGAATGAATTAAATTATATTTATATTATTGAGACATGAAAAGATTTATTTAAATAATTTTGAAATTATCAAATTTTGTTATTTTGATTTTAGTTTTCTTTTTTCAGAATTCCTTGATTTGAATTATATTCAGGATTTTTTGATGTATAGGAAGTACTTTTGCATTGTTTTCTCTACTAGTCTTCACATATGACTTAAATCTTGTTAGCTATTCTATTTTACAGCAGTAAAATATTAACCAAATCAAATATGTGATCATGCTCATCGCCATTTCAAAAATGGATCAAATTAATCTGAAATAGAAAAGATTTTTTTATTTAATAGAAATATCAACCTTCTGATAATAACTTTCTCGTTCAGAACCACTGCAGTTTGAAAGCTACCACTGCATCTTTTATGCAGAATTCTTACTCAAGAGATATGAAAATTCTCTTCAGGGCTGGATGGCTGGCTAATATGTCCAAGAAGAAAATTCTCTTTTAAAGTTTATTTTAATTTCAAAATATGATCTTATTTTGGCCAAAGGAAAACCACCCCTCAACAAAAATAATATTTAAAAACCCAATGCATTCAAAGTTTATATGTTACTGATGAAATTTTCTAATTTTTCTTTTATTTTTTTTTCATTTCCCAATTCCAAATACCTAATTCCCTGAGTATTATCGAAGTAAAAACATTCTCACCACAATGTTGCAGCCCTGAAGGAAGTCAGTGCTAAAAGAAAAAAAATCTGGTGTAGGAGTTTATAATGAGGGAGATCAGTCAAAAAGGCTGGCAAGGGGCATGTTATAGAAAATGAGCAAGAGAGAGAGAGAGAGCAAGAAAAAAATAGATATATTTTTTAATAATATGCACATGTAGATGGCAACAACAGAAGAAGAAATGTTGGTCAGTGAATTGGACCAACTCTTCCTTTGTTGTTTGCACCAGGTTATATAAAGGCTTGCAAAGACCAGTGGTCAGTTTTAGTAAGAAGCATTTGATTTTGACAGGACAATTGTAGTTATTATTTAAGAGCAAGACAAGAGGCAAGAATTCCACTCTGATGATGATTAGAAAGAAATGAGAGAAGAAAAAATAGCTAGCACGGTGAGTTAAAATAAAAGTTGATCCAAACAAGGAAAAGGGATGTACAAGCACCAACAAAAACGACACCTTTGCTCATGGATACAGACAGTAATGTTGGCCATTATCAAATTGGTTGTGGAAGGGTCTCATTTTTTTTTTTTTTGCTTTTTTTTGAGAAAAAAGACAAAACAAAACCAAAGAGAAAAATGACAAAGATAAATGAGTCGATATAATGATTTTGTATATTTGATTTTTTAATCTTTTTGAGCGAAGTTCGGATGATGTTGCAAAATTATTATTATTATTAATTTTTTTTAACTGTTCATTAAAAAAATTCTTTTTAAATTTGTAAAAAGAAAAAGATAGGATTTGCCAACTATCTCTGGCCAAGGAATTGGATAAATAAAGAAAACAAAAGCATTTTTTTTTTTGTCCATTTTCTTTTTTTTTTTTTTTTTTTTAATGTAAACAACGCATTTCAGATCTCGGTATTTTTTTATTGTTTCTTTTTTCAATTTTTTTTCTTTTCTTGGGTATGAGTTCATTTTTTTTATACAGCTATTTTGTTTTAATTCTTTTTTTTTTTTTAAGACTGTTGTTGCACGACAAGGAAGAATACAAACGTGCATCAACATAATTCCAATCACTGAAGAAGAAAGAGGAAGAAGCAAAAATCACAGCAGTTGGTCCAAAAATCAGAGGTTCGCTGGCTGTCCAGTTTCCATGGTAACTAGTAATATATCTGCCCACCTGTCGGTCGGTTGATATGTGTATGTGTTTGTGTGTGTTTTGCTAAAAACATGACAGTATTTATAATTAATTTAATTTCCAGTTTTTTTTTGTTTTTTTTTAACCAAACTTTGATATCGTCTGATTGCTTACATAATAAACCCATGCTGGCCATTATTAATACCGTTGACATTCTGAACTTCATGTATTTGATTCTTACGGGTATTAACTTTATAATAATTTACTTATTTTAGATAAGGAACAATTTTTATTCAAATCTAATAGATTTGAATTTTCCAAATTCAAACTTAAATTACTTACAAGAGTTGACCATGGACAAACTAGGTAACATGAAAATTCATATAATATACAGCAAAACATTTTAATCTGTAATTCTCATGGTTTGAAGGATGTAAATTTGAAAGTTTAAAATTTATTATGAATAAAAAAAAAAAAAATAGATGTCCTTGATTGTTGAATCTCTGGAATAACAAAAGCAGTAATAACAGCCCCAATAGTTTTATATACAAGCTACTGAATAATATCAAAAACAAAAAGCAACTAAAAGATAAATTTATCATAAATACTCTGATATTTTTAAAAAGAACTCTTGCCTATATATAAACATGTAGCAATGTTTTCCATATATAAACATGTAGCAATGTTTCTATATATAAAAACATGCAGCAATGCATCCATATATATAAACATGTAGCAATGTTTTCATATATAAACATGCAGCAATGTTTCTATTAAAAAAAGTTTCATTCAATTTTACAGACCATGGTCTTTCTAGAAATGAAATTTTCTTTTCTCCTAATCAACATTTGAACATTTGTAATTTAGTCTGTCGATAGTCATCATTATTACAAACCATTTTAAGTTGACAATTTTCAGTTGGCTAGCGAGTATTAAATCAATTTAAAACCCACTTGTTACTTTTAATCGGTATATTTTTTGAGTTGTTTTATCAAAATTGAATGTAACTCTCCAATGTCGGAGGCATAAAAAGATCACTTATAAAAAGCATGGTCTTATAATATTAAATGAAAATTAACATAAGAGTTATGTAGATGTATAAAATGTATGTAATTATGTATTTACTCTTGTAGGTTTGCCATTCATGGCAACAGCAACATGGACAGGAGGGACTTATACTTTTATCATATTTATTTATTATTTTTTTTTTTTTTTATACACAAAATGTCTTCTGTAATTCCAGGTTTTTAGTTCCATGTTTAAAAAAGAGCAAGAGAAGGTTCGATTCTCTCATAACCAAGATCCAGAGTCTTTCTCCAGGACTGCGGCAGCATCCATTCGCCCCATCACCCGTAAAATATTCATCAAGTCTGTAATGGCTGAGTCTTCTCGATGGCGGGCCTCCCAAAGGTCCAGAATGTGTTCTGTGGGGCTTCGTTTGGTCGCAAAATAGTTGATATATCTGGTGAAAAAGGAACAATTATTAAAAATATTTCATTCAGAAAATACCAACAGAAAGATAGTTCCACCTATACATGAAAGCCAAATTGATATGTACCTTTTAATATTGGTTGCAATGATGTTGTTGATTTTTTTTTATAATCTATATATTAATCCCAAACTAAAATAATATAAATATTAATTACATTAAAAATAATCAATATCATGATTGCAACCAACATTAAAGATAAATATCAATTTGGCAATTATCTACAACAAAACAATAATTTTTTTTTTAATATATCTATATCATACAACTTTACCTCATTTACTAATCAGATATTCCATTATTTTTTTTTTTGTTTACTTTTTTTTTTTTTTACAAGGTCAAAGAGCCATTTACTCATTTTTGTTTATTAGACATTAAATTATGTCACTTAGCATCCTCCATAATTACCCAAAACTTTTCAGTTAGCCTGATGAATATTTATGAACAATTAAAATTTTTTTAAAAATCCTACAGGATTCATTTACTTAAAGCCATTTTTAACCAATGATCTGAGAAAACAGTGACAGTCTGGACACTTAGGCATTAAACCCAATCTATTGCTGATAGTAACAACCAAAATGACAAAGACGCCATACTTATGATAATTAAATATTGACTTCTTGGCAAGACCGATTTGTATTTTTTAAATTTGGGTAATTATGTTTCTTTATATATTTAATAGTTATTCAATTTTATCTCCTTTATTTACTAACAAAATATTCCATGTTTTTTTTTTACAATAATGTTCATTCTGTACAAGGTCAAAGAGCCAATTGAAGTAGAGGATTACAGAGTAAGACCCATAGTTTATTTTTTACAATAATGTTCACCCTGTACTAGGCCCAAGTGCCACTCAAGGTAGAAGGTTAATGTGTAGAGTTGTATTAGTGTAAGAAAGGGCAAGATAATAGAAAAGTTAGCTAATTTCAGACTTGAAGTAGTCAAGATTTAATTAGTGAATAAGATTTCAGACTTCAAGTGGTGACATTAGGAGTATAGAGTTGTAGTAGAATTTAGAAGGAATGGGAAAGCCAATCCTAAACAGGAAACAAGGGATGAACCTCTATTCCTGTTAAAAAAATGGAAGATAATGGTTAATCCTAGACTTGAACAGGTTAAGACTGTAGTGATCAGGGAAGCACCATACTGGGAGTGAAATGGTAGTAGGAAACATTACTCAATGCCAATAATTGAACATATCTTAACAATAATATATCTCATTAGTAAATAAAGATCAGGTTGATAATATATTGTTTTTATCTTGGGATATTTTTGCTTTTAATAATTACATGTAACAAATCCTAGATTACTCATGAAGAAAATATAACCAATGAAATTGCAGAATTATTTAAATATTGCTGTCATTTTTAGCATTCAGCTCCATATATTGTCACTGTTCAGTATTTTTAGCATTCAGCTTCATATATAGTCACTGTTCTATATTTTTAGCATTCAGCACAGTATATAGTTGAAATTTTAGGATTCACACATTGAAAAATTTTGAAAAAATATATAAATACACTTTTTCTAAGATCATCCATCTTGGCAGCATCCATACAGTATAAATGGATCAAGTACATCAGCAGACCCATGACCATGTGTAATCATAAGGCTGCTGCACAATTAAGATCCTGACTAGCTCTTTCTATATGTATAAGTTGCATGCCAATGCCCAAGTCTCTGGAGGATATTCCAGTCAATTCAGATACATTGTCAGCCCATTTTTTTGTGTGTCTGTCTCTTCATTTGCATAAGGTGGTTCCTTGTAAGATGGCAGTGGAAATAGTTGGTTCTTACAACGTAGCTATAGCATTTCAACTTTCTCATCTCAGTGGTGGTCATGAGGTCTTCCATTGGGCTTGTTCCTTGTTTGATAGTGTCTCATACTCTTGTCATTTGTAATGCAGACTACATAAGAGATACCTAGAATATTTCTGTAGCATCTCGTTTCTAGTGCTTTGTAGGTTCATTATTGAGTTATGATAGCATACTGAAAGTGGATGCTTTTTTTTTTTTTTTTTTGACAAAGTTGTTCCTCTTGCTAGAAGAAGAATGAAAATTGATTTCAACTCCCCACCCCTGCCAAAAAAAAAAAATAATGGCAGTTTCATATACCTGTACATAAGCCATTTTTAACCAATGATCTGAGAAAACAGTGACAGTCTGGACACTTAGGCATTAAACCCAATCTATTGCTGATAGTGACAACCAAAATGACAAAGATGCCATATTTATGATAATTAAATATTGACTTCTTGGCAAGACCGATGCCTGCTTGAATTTATTTTTATATATGAAACCTTTTATTTAAAATTTGATGTAACATAAACATATGAATATCACTAAACACACCTGTCAACTGTTAATGCTTGAGCAAGCATTCGCCAATCAGTGCCTCGTGCATTGGGAGGATCCAGCAATAGGCACAACTGGTTCCGAATATGTATGGGGAGCCTGAAAGAACAAAATACACAAATCAACATCAGTGGAAAATTTACAATAAACTTTTAACCATTTCATCATATTTTAAATGTTAATCTTTATTTTAGAAAATGAAAATCGGGCACAAAAGTTTTGCAGTGATCCGATACATACATTGTTTAACTAATGAATCCACCTCTCCTCCCTCCCAGCTATGGGTTAATTAGAACATACTATCTCGAAAAAAAAATTAAAAAAAATTTGATAATATTAGCAACATACTCTAAATAAGCTTCTCTTTACTATTGTGATATGCCAATGACAAACAAATTGAAATGATTGCACTTTGGTTAGTTTCCTTCTCACTAGGGTTTCTCTCAATGTTTCAGTTTGTGCAGCTTCTGCTCTCTTCAACTGCCTGTTGCATTTTTGACTGTCAAGTCCCTTGCTTCATTCATGTGCTTCCCTTCTCATCGGCATCACATCTTGTGCCTGTGTGTTCTTGCCCACCCCTCCACTTAGATATTTGAAATACATTTTAGGAGAGTATACTAAATTTTGAATCAAAAAGAAAAAAAATTAATCTGTATGTAAAATTCCAACTATCCATACATTGACCAATTGAAACCAAATACTTCAAAAAGTTGGAATTTGGCCAGTTGCATGTTGCATGCTCAAGAGTAAGAAATTGTAAGAATTTATTCTTTCCTGTTAAAAAGAAATTTTCTTAAAGAATATTTTTTACCATGAAGTTCTATAAAATTAAATTATTAAACCATAAAGTAGGCTTTTTGTCTTAAGTATTTTACCAAACAAATCAGCTTATTCATATTTCTGTATTGGTTTGCAAAATTGAATGAAACGTAGAGTTTATAAATCTCAACAAAAAGTTCTAGTAATAATTTCAACAATACTAAATACTGTGAGGACTTCAACATGTGTCAAAAAAAAATCTGATACTAATAACTGAGGTTCAGTGGTTTAATTCATATTGTTCAGCTGACATATGGCAGATCACTGGTGGTAACTAATTTATTGTAACTAGTAACAGTGTTGTATAAAAATGCGATCTTGGAAATATAATTCCTTATTTTCATATTCAATTCCACACTCTGCAACTAATTGAATTATGCCACTCTTTTTTGTAAACAGTGGCTTATGGAACCTTTAGTAAATTATTACTCCTCCTAATGTATAAACATCTTAAACATATAAATTTAAAAGCTCTGAATATATAACATGTCAGTATAATGATTAAAGCCTTGCAGTCATATCACATTGAAAAACTGGTTCTCATGCCATCTCTGTAGTTAAGCAAAATCGAGCCTAGTCAATACCTAGATGGGTGACTGCTTTGGAATACAAGATGGTGTAAGCTTGGATGTGCAGATGGTGTAATGGATAATGGCTCAGAATTGGAAATCAGATAGCCAAGTTCCAATTCCAGTCATATTCCTTATATTCACTTACAAATATTCATGGAAATAGTATTAATTCACCTATTCTCTCCACAGTTACAGTTTAACTAGTAGTCCTTGTATTAGTAATTTATGACTATCCCCCCCCCACCAAAAAAATCTTCACTCTAAAAAATATTTTCTGGCTTTAAATAATCTGCAAAAGGTTGATAAGCTGTAAAAAATAATCAGTCAATCAATACACAGTAATCAGCTGATAATTTTGATGATAAACCAGAATGCTCTTCTAAACTGAATTTAACAATTGAAACCAAAAGTCAGTGGCAGTTGTGCCCTAATGACCTTTGATAATATTAGATCATTGCAAAAGTTTGTGCCTGATGAGAAACAAAATTTAACATAGTCAAAAAAAAAAAAAAACATTTATTAGTCAAATACAGTGTCTCCATTGTTTATAACAACTGTCTTCAATTGTTCTACAAGCTTGTTACTGCCATTTTCATAGAAACTTTGTATTTATTCTTGGAAGAAGGTTGTGAGGTAGTTTTTGATTGACTGTACAGAGTCAAAGTTTTTGTCATTTAAATTGTTCTGTAGAGACCAGAACAAATGAAAATCTGAAGGAGTAAAGTCAGGAGAAAACAGTGGGGTGCTGGATTGACTTTCCATTTCAACTCTTTATGTTTCTGCAACGTCTGTTATGCAATATGTAGTGTTGTGTTGGAAAATGACAACTTTTCACTTTACCAAACCAGCTGTTTTTCTTGAACCTAAGTCTCTTCAAATGGTGAAAGGCAGTTGAGATGTTGATTTTCAAACTCTTAGCAATCTCTTCCATCAAAATCTTCAGTTTATTCATCAGAGAATCCACACTGATATAGGAAGGTTGCCTGGAACCTGGTTGATTTAGTTTAAAATCATCCTGACAAAATCTTCCAAACCACTTTTAGGCCATTTGAAGAACTGGAGCATAATCTATATAAACCTTCTAAATGTTTTCTGTTGCAGTTCCCACACTTACGCCTTTCTGAAATTCCTATATCATAATATGGTGAAAGTGCAATTTTTCATCCTCGATTTTTAAGGCATGCATTTGTAGAGAAAACGTCAATATTCAACAAAGTTTAACTTGAAAATGAACAATGCAAGGTTTTGATCTAGAACACGTTAGAAATCGGCATCAAAACAGATACCAGTATCAAGTTACAGTCATTTTATATTAATAATGACAATTGGGCACAAACTTTTGCAATATTCTGATACATACATTATGTACTCAGTGAATCTACCTTTTCTCCCCCTAGCTATGGGTTAATCAGCACTTGTATCTGTAAATGATTACTATTTTCAAAAAAAAAAACTTTGATAATATTAGCAACATACTAAATAAGTTTATCTTTCCTATTGTGTCATGCCAATGACAAGCAGATTGAAATGATTGTATTTCACTTAGTTTCCTTCTCATTGGTATTTCTTTCAATGTTTTGGTCTCTGCTCTCTCTAACTGCCTGTTGCATTTTTGACTGTTAAATCCCTTGCTTCCCTTTTCATCGGCATCACATCTAGTGCCAGTGTGTTTTACCCACCCCTTCTCTCAGAGCAAGGTTCAACATTTCAAAATAGAACAGACACCCAAAGAAGACTGAAGTGACCTGAATGTTATTAAAAAAAAAGAATGATGAAGAGATTAGTCCAAAGCAATCCAAATTTTATGATTAATAATGACAATTTCCAACAAGTTACTGAAATGACTTTCAGTGGGATTCTATGTGAAATTACTATCTTTATAGGATGTGTAGAAGCTTTCTTCCATAAAAGGTTGTATATTGTTTTATAATAGAACTTTTAAGATAGGAAACTGGAACACTTTAAAAAGTCAAGTAAGTTATATATATGAATATATTATTATTATATACAGATTTCTTAATACTATATACATTATATTTAGTATGTAAATGCCACCCCTACATTTTTTTTAACAATAAAATTAATGTCGACCAGTCTAGAGATTGAGAAGTTCTTCTAAGGAAAATATGACTCCTGACAGTAATTACACAAGTTTTCTGGATCACATATCACATTAAAAAACTGGTTCTCATATGATCACTGAAGTTAAGCAACCTCAAAAGGTCAGTAGCTAGATGGATTCAAATGTGGGATGTCCATTTATTAAATATGATAATTGATCCTTAGTTTGTCAGATGGTTTCCTGTTGTCTAATTGGTAAGGCACAGTTGGCTTAAAAATGGTTTCACTGATTGAAAAAAAAAATACAAGTTCAATTTCTGTCAGGAGACAATTTTTCTTTAGTAGCACTACTTGATCTCTACACTTGTAGACATTTATTTCACTTCTTGGTACTCTCATTTTTCTTGTTAAAGTCACAATGTATTGGCCAAGTTTTTTTTTGGTGGGGGCTTCTCCTGCCATGTATTAGAGATTCTTGGTAAAATCCTAAAGAATCTGCAATATTATCAGCCCTGATCTAGCATCTCAGTTTCAGTCACTTGCCCACTGCTGCAACATAGCTTCCCTGTACTTTTTCTATAAATATTTTCATAATCATTTTTCTGATGAGCTTTCCTCTTTAGTACATCAACTTTACAAATTTAAGCACAGTACTAGATTAGCAGCTAGGTCTCATCATTTTATTTGATATAACCATGAGTTCTATGTTAAAAATTTATTTTTTGGCACCTCTCACTTGTGGAACTTGCTTCTTGCTTTTCCAGTCAACTTTGATCCTCAAAAATGTAGATGCATTTCATTATCTTCCATTTTCTTAATACCTTTTATTATTCTTTCTTTTCAATGTTTTTCTTTTTATCATATTTTTTCACATTTGTTAACCCCTTTTGTCTTAGTGCTTTTATTGCCTTGCTTAGGAGAAATGATTTAAAGAAAAAGATGTCATATTCAGTAATATTCTTAGAATTGCAAACTAAACCCTTTATTCAATCTATGGAAGTAAAATCTTCTCATTCGTAATTCTTCCATTCTACATAACCAGAGATTGAACTTGCCACAAGATAAACTACAGCACTTAACTAATGCTTATATCTACTAATCCATTATACCAAGGACACAATAACAGAATAATTGATTAATATGAGATATCATATATACTTAGAGATTCTTGATAAAATCCAAAGAAGAATCTGCATTATTATTGGTCCTGACCTGGTATCCCATGTTCAGTCCATTTTCCACCACCATAATGTATCTTCTCTCTGGTTTTTCTATAAATACTTTCATGGTAATTGTTCTGATGAACTTTCCTCTATGGTTATTTTTATTCCTCACTACCACAGACAAATTGTACATATAGGAACTAGTTAGGACTACATAGAGACTCTGAGGTATTATGGTAGCTGTAGTAAGAATGGTGAGTAAGTATATGTTGTTTTGTTGTAAGAAATATTTTGGTATAAAATAAGACAGATTAAAAACCAGCCTTTCCCTATCACCACTTTTGGCCTTGCATCACATTTTTTTTATTATTCAAAATATTACTTTCCTCTATGGTACCTAGACTTTATGAATTTAAGCACAGTACTAGATTGGTGATAAGGTCTCATCATTTTACAGTAAAAATGGCTGCTAGATGTAACCATGTTCTATGCTAACAGTTTCTTTTTTTTCCTACTTCTCACCTTTGGAACTCTCTTCTTGCTTTTTAGCCAACTTTGATCTTTAAAAATTTAAATGAAATGTCAGTTGTTATCAACTGTCTTCTCAATTCTCCTTCTTTTATTGATCTCTCTTTTTTCCTATTCTTTCACACTCAGTGTCTTAGTGGCTTTATTGCCTTGCCTGGGGTGAAATGATTAAAAAAAATCTCCTGCATGGATGGAATGAGAATGTTTAACTCTGTATTATTCAATAATAAAGGGTTCCAAATACAACAGGCATCTGAAAAGGGCTGAAGTGTATAATAGCTATAACAACCAAGATGAGGATAACAGTTTAAAGAAAATCTAGCTATAGTTTCTCCACTTAAATTCAAACAGAATTTGTTTCCTTATTCTTGTACTGAATTAATATTCACCTCAGAGACTATGAGTTTCAAATATGGCCTGATCTACTGGTTCTTTTGTGTTCAATTAGGTACAACCAAAATTGACATGAGAAAACATTTGTGGAGCATATGGTGTAGAATAGGTTCACAATCAATGATTTGTGAGATAACTCCTTTAGTCTGGTATAGACAAAATAGCAGTGTACCAATTAAGGTTCAAAACTCTTGCCATAGATGTTTGCAAGCCATTGCTCTAGCACAAGTTCCTAACAAACATTTAGCCATCTTAGTGGCATTATCTACCCCTCAGTCATAGAACAATCATAATTTTGAATGAAATCAAAAAGGCAATAGTTCATCTTCCTTGCATATCTCCTGAAAATGAAATATACTTTGCTCAATTTGCACATTAGAACACGTGCAAACAGCTAAAGGATTTTTGATAAAAGGCCAGCATTCTTGGCCAAGTCATTGAATGTAACCAAGGCACAGGATCTGAATCAAGGAATACAAAAGTGAGGAGAGAGAGAGGGAAAGATAACGGGAGACTTAGGAATCATGCTTAACAAAGTGAGACTGAGAATGCAGTGTGCACATAATAACATTCACATTTCGTATATTATTTCATTGCATGCAGAAATAAAACTGGGAAATTACACACAAATTTTATATATATATATATATATATATATGAAAAAAAAGAGAAAATATTGTCCATGTATGCTTCTTACATAATGTAAGTATAGTATGTCGATAAGAGAAATTTGAAAAACGAATTATTAATTGCATATTAGGCCATTAGACAAAGCGGAATCTCAAGAAATAAGCCAAAATCAAAATTTTCAGACATGCTATTTTAACAAAAATAAGAATAAAACGTTTTCATTGAGAAAGGACACAGACATATCCAAAATTTCAGATTTTTAATATTCTTCTCATAATGCGTCACTTTTGTCTAATGTCCTTACTTATTATTTCTCATTGGCCTACTATACCTATATATAATAACGGACAAGAAGGTCAACACCGATTGACAACAGTCTGCTTTATGCTTTAATGCAATCCTCAGGCCATCATGATCTGAAGATTGCATAAAGCATGAAACAGACTGTCGCCACTCTCTCCCGGATATTGAGCACTTTTACCTATAAATATAGCATACCTTAAAACTATATTTTGTCATGTGTGTGTATGTGGACTCAGACTGGATACAATGAAGATTTAAATACAATCAAACCAAAACATGTGCAAGGATTTCAATTCATTCAAGAATAAACAACAAAACATTGTATATTCATAAAGAAAAGAAAAAAGAAAAAGAAAGGAAAAGGGTGAATAGATGAGAACACGATGGCAAGGGACATAACTGCTGCTTTTCTTAGTTTGTTTACCTCCCTTATTAATATTTATTTATTATATTAATTATAAATGTTTATCTAAATTTAAAGCTTTAATTAAGAAAGAACTAATATCTGTATCCATTTGTAAAAGTAATTAACCAGAACAATTATAATGCTAATGTCAACTTAACATAATTACTTAAACCCAGTTAATTAAAAGTTTATCTTTTTTTTTAAAATCCACCAGCCTCCTCAAAGTCTTAAATACTTAACTAATGTCAAACATAGAGAAAGAATAAGAGCAGAAGTATTTATAGAGAGTCACCCCCAAAAAGAATCCAATTGTTGCAATTGGTTGGCAGTGTCCTCTGCAGTCGCGTTCTTGCAGGGTTAGTAGTTAAGTGGCTGTTAATCTTGTTTTTTTTTTTGTTTTTTTTTTGGTCAGGATTAGTGTTGATAGTTACCTAAAGGCTCTCTGTTGCGGGTCCATGGCCAGCATTGAGGTGACCTGGCTGGAGGACTGAGAGTTGGTCACTGCAGCAGCTTGCCGATGTTTCAGTGTGGACGAATCACTAGAGTTTGATGAGGGCATGATCTGAAATGGCACCAACAACACCATAAATCCATGAAGGTTTCCTCTTTGGTTTGTTTTGTTTTTTTTTTTTTTGTTTTTTTTTGTTTACATTGGCTGCTTCTTATTTACTCTAGATCACAACCATAATGATGATTTTCTAAGTTTTTTGTCTGATTTTATATCTTTGACCATTGGACTAAGACACAAGAGAATTGCACAATTGGACTTGATTCTCTGACAAAGACAAACTCCTAATGTTCTATCCAAATACCATTATTGATATCCATCTTCTATTTCTTTGCTCTAAACTCAAGAAAACTGCCAATTGAATTTGGTAAGCTAAAGAAAAATCTAAAGTAACATTTTTAACTTTTAACCAAGTTTTGATTTCTAAGTGGTCGAGGTAGAAAAACTATCATATCTTATACAGGGTATCTCAAAAAATGTATACATAGTTTTACAGTGTATATAACTCAAGTCAACTTGCTTTCTTTTTATATTTAAGCATTAGTTTTTCTAATGTTATTCAGGTTTAGCTTTGAATAAAGTTCAACCTGAAATGCCACTAGAGGTACAAAAATGCATTTGAAGTTCAAAGGTGGTATCAAAGAGAGTTTCATTCAGATCCACCCACACAGCTCAAAATCTCATGAATTAGAGATAAGTTTAAAGCTGATGGTACTTTACTCAAGAATGATTCTGGAAGACCATGGATATCAACAAGCATGGAAAGTTTTCACAGAAGTCCAAGAAACCTCTTGAAATGTTGATTGCTGCTTGTAATTGCATTACAGTGCATTGTCGGCAATGTCTGGATCATGACAGACATCAGTTTGAAAGCATGTGATAACAAAATCTTCAAAGTGTGCATTTATACCATCTTCATATGCATAATTTAAATTAGATATAGTTGGTTCTAGTTGCTTGAATTTTTTTTTGAAAAACCTTCCAAATATGTATAGATGTTTTTTAGATACCCTGTATGTTAACCTTAATACTGAGTGAATAATGTACATTAGTGAAAGTGAAAGACTATTTTAATTGTAATGAGTAACACTCATTTTAAAGAAAAGAAAAAAATGGTTCTACCTTTACAGCTAATTAGTTTAGCCGTTATAAAGCTAATTATGAAATCTGTAACTTTGGAGTTAGAAAATTAGAATATTGAACTAGTATCTGAGAAAAGTAAATGATTCTATTTCAAATTGGTAAATAACAAAAAGCATTAGCTTAATAATAACAGCATTTAGTATGAGAAACTCACAAAATGCTTCAATAAACATAATAATTGCTTTTTCATAAGCTGATGCTGTTAGGTAGAGCCATAAGTAATTGTAATGATAAACATATCATCCTAATTGTTAACTAGATTGACTCTTGTAACCCTACCAAGTATTGAACTCACCATCATTGGTTAACAAATTTCTGAATATATTTGACTCCCACTCTTCAGCTTAATGGATATGTTCTAAGCTGTAGCAGTAGCAGGATTGTCACCCTTCCTGACAAAGTGAATTTAACCTTTAAGCATTCTCGGACTGAGGAATCAGAGAGCCGAGTTTGAATTCTGGTTGAATTCAATACATTCACTTACATGTGCTAATACCCTTGTGAAAGAGATGAATCCTCTTCTTCTCCCCCCAGCTTTGGGTAAATAGCAGGACAGACCGGCTTCTATAGTCTTGGATGGCAACTGGAATACCGCAGAAAGAAATGACAACTAACTGCAGGAAAATAATCTGCCTCGTCAGTCATGTATTGAAAGATACATGATTGCTTAAGCCTGTATCACGCATGGCACATAACTGACTGACTGACTGAAATTTCTACTAGGGGAATAGTTTTCTGTTGTTTGGTAAAGTGCTGTCACTCAGTTTATTGATCAAGATCCTGTTTTATTACTAACTGTTCCTTAAATATACCATAGCAGGTGATGAAAAGTAGGTTCAGTGAAGTGCCAAGGGTAAATCTCTACAACTGATCCTAAGAGCTGAGCTCTGTGGAAAATGGTAATGTAGTGGAATCATCAAAGTATTATTTGTTAATAATTCTTAAAATGAAGTGAAACACTAAATGTACATTTATACATGGCAGGGGTAATTTGGGGGTTCAGTCTAGTCTACCAGACCCATCATATTCACCTAAACTTCAACCTATTTCAACCATGCAAAATGCTTTGAAGTGCAATTTTTTTATAATGAAAAGCAGATTCAAGTTTTTGTCAAAAAAATTTTCATGTGAAAACCTGCATAATTTCATTCAAAAGTTTTGTGCTGGCAAGATGGAGAAGTATTGGGAAGAGGAAAAAAGTCAAACAGTTATTTCCTGACCCCAAAAAGAAGAGGTATTGAGCAAAATTTCATGGGAAAATTAGCTCAGGGGGAGGTGTTGTCATGGAATGTCTCACACTCCCTATTGCATATTTGGACTGACTATATCAGTAGATCCATATAGTGTGCACAGGATATACTTGGCAACTGGAATGTCTCACACTCCCTATTGCATATTTGGACTGACTATATCAGTAGACACATATAGTGTGCACATGATATACTTGGCAACTTGATTTGGGAATTACTTGCTTACTGACCAATTCCTTGTCTTTCAGTAGTGTATCCTCTTTTACAATAAATCTCTCTTTCATCTACGCCTTTCACTCGAGTACCACCTTTGTCGGTTTGTAACCTTCTTTAAGGATACAACAAAAGGTATCAAGGAACTGCTTGATATGTGGCAAGATGACATTGCAAATAATGGTGAAGATATGAGCAAAATTTTGTTGTCCTTTACTTTTTGCAGAATAAAGTCAAACAAAAATGGAAAGTATTTATGACCCAACCTAATATTTAGTGTTATTTCCTCCGAGCCTACAAAATTTGTTTTATAGGCACTCAATAAATTATAACATAAAAAAAGAGAAACTATCTCAAACTTTTAATGATGTTTCTTACTGTTTCAAGATTAACATCTCTGTGAATAACTAGTTTTCAACTTTAAATGTCTACCTTAAAGTACACAAAACATATCAGAGTTAATACTATTCTTGGCTCAGAGTAAAGAATACTCTCCTCATGACCAACCCTGGACCAAATTCTATGTTATCATTTCAAATGTAAAGATTGTCTGTGGCAGGGTGATGAAATTTATTACAAAACAGTTAATACCGTTCCTAATACTTTATTACAGCAGATTTCTGGTAAATTCCAATGATAAAAGTTAAAAATTTTGCCAGTCTTGTGTTAGAAACAACCACAAAATTAGATGGCAGGATGTGATTATAACAGAGAAAATCTACTGTTGTACTAATAATGGACACTCTCATAGTCTTTGGCATACAAGGGTCCAGTAGCTTAGTTCTTAGAACCAATCAGCCAAACTACCACTTGATTTGATTATAGTGGTGAAGGCTTCTGCAGAACCAATCACATTTTTCAGAACTGAATACACACATAATGTACCACAAGGTCTCCAAACAACCCTCCTCAGGTGTTGAATTCAGAGATTTCCATCTCTTAGACTGATTGCCAACCAAGGCTAAAGAGCCCAGTTTGTTGTATTATTTAACCCATAGTTAAAGGGAGATAAAGAGAAGGATTTATACATTTCACAAAGATATTTGCATATCTGAATGTAACAAAATCAACTAGTGTTCAAACTTGCCAGATTTCTCATTCTGAGCCGTTATCTATTACACAATCTGCACATCCATAATAATATTGTGTACTAAATATCAAGAAAGTCTAGACAATTATAGAATAATAACCAAATGGTTGAGAGTTCTGATATGAAGCCGTGAAGTATAGAGTTTAATATCTAGTTTGATGATTTGAGGATGTATGTCCATTATACTTTGCTTCAGGAGAAACAATGCAAGAAGGCTTAATGAATAGAACATTGGCAAATAAAGCTAACAAAATTATCTCATAATCATCAGCATTCTTTTGTTTGAAAAGCTCCTTGTAAAAAATGATAACTTTAACCTTTCATAAGCTTTACTTTGGGGTTTATGCTATTATTTTAACTTTCTAACCATAACTTTGATAACATTCATATGAATGGACAGTATTAAGGCGAAACTCTGATTTCAGACGAGTACAAAATTGTCTATTATTTGATATTAAGGGAAGGGGAAAATTATGATCAGTCTGGTATAAAATCTGCTCTAAACAATAATATTAAAAAAAAATCATATCCTAAATTTATTGTATGCTATTAATTCTATTTCACTCTTTAGGTTGGTGCCTTAATATGTCTATTAAGTTTCATTATGTTTTAATGAGCTAAAGAGAGATTGTTACCATTGCACCTCAATCTATGGATATCCTCTTAATGATCTATATTTCACAGCCTCTTCAAAAACAAAACTTTTGGTTCATAACTGGGGGTAGTGAGTTAAGCCAGTTGTTAATTTATCTAATCATAGTTTATTTCTTTGTTTTTTTCTTTTAAGCCACTTCATGATAAAAGCTGATTTTTTTTTTCAATTCAGCATGGAAGTAAATTTTATGCACAGATGCCACTTCTGTCCTGACCATTGATCTGATTTGATTTTTTTTTCTTCTTCAAGATGACTCCATTGAAATGGCCTTCCAATTCATAGCACAGTTCATTGACCAGCCATTTAACAAGAGAAGACAACACAAAAAAGATGTCAAATAACAAGAAAGGTTTCTTCCATCATCCCTGGCCTGTGGCTACCTAAAAAGCAAGGAGGCTGAGCATGCACATGGACCAACAAACACACAAACAACAACATTATGATGTGATCAGCCATCAACTGGACACAGAGACACAGACAAAATAACAAACAGATGGACAGACTGATACAGAATACATGTCTACAAATATAAAGACAGACTAATAGCTTCAAACGGATTACTTCCATTGACTAAGTGAGAAGATATTTACACTCACCCTCAACACTCACAGAGAGAAGAGAGAAAGTAAAAAGACTTTATGGTGACAAGTGACAGTTTTCAAGAAAGATCGACCTAACCTTTGCCTTATGTCAACAACATACAACAACAAACAATACAGTGCAAGGTTAGTCTTTTTTTTTCTATTTTCATCTCATTCTTTTACTGTAAAATCCTACTGAAAACATTAAAAAGAAAAAATAACAAGATCTTAAAAAAAAAAATATGCTCAAAGAGGTTTCAGAATAAAAGACCAACAGCCAAAAAAATGCTTGGTTTTAATATCAATTTGATATGGAATATTTCACAACTTGATTGTTTCATTATTTGTGCTGGGACTATTGTCATCATCTTTGTTATTGTTATCACAATGTTTCAGCCACTGTAACTTTGAGCAATCTTCTAGCTTAGTAGGCCCAGCATAAAGATAAATACAATATGAGAACTGTTAATAAATAAATAAATGAAGAGAAATGACAGCAAGGCTTCAACTGCAGCAGATAAGTTTGAGGCTCCAAATTCTACACTCAGGACTGTCCTAGTGGATTAAAGCATTGTATCATTAATATGGGGGATATAGTAATTGTAAGTTCAACCCTTGGTCCAGGAAGTGCAGTACTAAATAAAAATAAGATTTCTCTAAAAATGGACAGTGGAACAAGAACAATCTACTCTGTAGATTCTTTGAAGGTTACATGAACTTCTAAGAACCTGGAGAATACAACAGCTGAAACATTGTGATAACAACAACATTTATAAGGATAATAGTCAGGATAAGTAATGTAAATAATGATAACTCCGCATAGAAATTCAAATAGAAATTGATTGTTTTAGTATATTCATCACCATGAAGGATCTTGAAAACATTAATTCTCTTTAGAAGAGTTTTTTTATGGATTTTATAACAAACACAGTTGAACAGACCATAAACAAATCTCAAATTGCTCTAAGTTAACGAATTTGATTCACCACATCTTCCTATCCTTTGTTGTTGTTGTTAGCAATGTAGACAAGATGAAATGGTAACATGATTAACTTCTTCATGATTGGGTTTTATATATCTGTCTATATTTCTGAGATGAGGTACTGTAACTATTTACACTATTTACATTGTTTGGACTGTTGTCCTCATCTTTATTGCCATACTCACAACATTCCGGCCATTATACGCTCAGGCCTTTTTCAGGTAATATATGTTGGAATTTCAAACTGAACCTTTTATTTTGTCCACTAGAGTAGATTGTTCTAGTACCATGTTCCTTGTCTTTGGATTTCTCTGTTTTAGTTATTTACCTTTCGTAACTCAACTCTCCAAGTTTTTTTGTTTTTTTTAACCTACACTGTGATCAGGTATTGAACTTGCAACACTTTGGGTCAAATCACTGAATTACTTCAACCAATGCTTTTATCCACTGGGTCATGTGTCAAAGTTGGAGAGTTGAGTTACTAAGGGAAATAACTGAAACTGAAATATCCAAAAAAGGGTATGGCATGTGGAACTAGAACAAGCTAGGCCACTGGACTAAATAAAGAGTCTGGTTTGAAATTCCAACGTAAACCACCTTAAGAAGGCTGGAATGTACAACGGCCAAAACATTGTGAATATGACAATATGAGGACAACAGCCTGAATGATGTAAATAGTGTGTTTTATATAGCCTAAATATTTTTTTTATTAAGCTTAGTCTGACACAGAGCCACAACATTTGGGTGCCCAATGAGGATTGCTTGTAATGTTAATCATTATTCTGTGTCAAATCTAAGAAAATAGAGGATATTATTTAGTTACCTGATGGTTGGCTTCTAAACAAGAGTAATAATAAACTGCTTCTGTAGTATGTCCTTGATGGTCATGAAAAAATTGCAGCTTCATTTAAAAAGAAAGAAAGAATGTTTAGAATCATACTGGCATTGGTAATTTTCCTAATAGGAAAAGTCTTTAAATATCAAAACGATGCTAGGTCAAATTTTAAAATAATTTATGAAAATTAACTTTGGCCTTGTGACAGATTAAATTAGCAACAGAGGATCGAATACAGGAACAAAAGTATCTGCAGAATCTGCTTGCTCACTATTGTTCTAAGTTAATAAAAAAATTGGACCTAACTAAAAATATAAAGTGCTTTTAATAATAGGTTTCCTAATAGCATAACTTAGTCCTGATGATAAACTAAATCCAGCACTCTGATCAGGAGAGTGGAGATTTTGAGCAGCAAAGAACCACCTCTTAATTGCTGTTATTCCCAGGCCCAGCCTGAATATGTTAGGGTCCCAACTATGGGCAAATTAGTGAACTCCTAAACAAAACACTATGAAAGTATAAAAACAAATTTTTATAGAAAAGAAATGACCAACAATACATTTTATAGCAAAATGACCAATGACACATTTTATCTGTAGTTGAAGGCATACAATTGTATTCAAAATATATTTAGTTGAGGCCATAAAATTGTGTTCAAAATAATTAGATTTCACATTAAATAACCCATAGAGGTTGATATGGCACTAAACAAAATGAACGAATCAACCAAAATTAGTTATAACTAGACAATATGAATAAGTCATTTTGCCCTGACAACCTCTTGAATAAAAAGTAGGTAAGTCGCTACAGAGGAAGAATTGACCATTAAAGATTCTGTAATGATATACAGGTTTAATACCTGTCATGAAATAAAAATATGAAATAATGAAACTGCTTTCTAGAATTCCCCAAATAGTCATGAAACTACACAGATCTATTGAAGTGTAATAACTGCTAACTTGTATTTGTATATTAATATGGTACGTGGAATGAAATTTTAAAATTTGCACAATCCAAAAAACGTTTTGTTATCTATCCTGACCCAGCAATTTGTTTTCATAGTAATTGTTTTAATGAGTTCTCATTGGTACCTAGAGCACATGAATTTAAGTGTATTACTAGATTGGCAACTAGGTCTCATTGTTTTACTGTTGAAACAGCTAAATGGGACCATAAGTTCTATTATAATAGTTTCTTTTCTTGCACTTCTCACATGTGGAACTCTGTTCTGGTTTCTTGTTCCCCTGTAATCTAAGATCTTCAAAACTTTAAATGCAATATCAATTGAAATATTCTGTCTACCTGAAACCTGTTCTTTTAGTGTCCTTTCTCTGTGCTAATGTCTTCTTTCACTCTCAGTAACCCCTTGTATCTTAGTGACATTATTACCTTGCTTGAGGTGAAAAGATAAAATAAAATATGATCAAGTTGGTAGAAATACTAGTCAATATCTAAAGACTACACAAGATGCAGAAATAGAGTGAACGAGAGAAAAAGATATGTCAAATTTTATAAAGCAAGTCAGTGAATCATTATCAAAATTACCAGGATATATCATGTGAATTTCCACTTGTTTGTTTTTATCAAAAATATTTACAGTAACTTATTATAAAACTCAAGTGTTGTTCATCCTATTGTCAATAAACATAATAGTATATATTTAAATATCAAATATACAATCTCAAAAGAAAAACATGGTATTATAAAATTACTGAATAAGGGAAACACAATGTTAAAAATTGTGAAAATGTTGAACAGAAGTAAAACTTTTTTTTTCACAATGATGGCCCAAGAGCCACTCGAGGTAGGGGGTTATACAGTAAGAGGCCCAATTTATGCAGATAATGGCTAATCCTAGACTTGAACAAGATTGTAGTGAATGGAGAAGCATTCTCTTGGGATTCGATTCCACAAAACAGCAGTTCATATGAAGAAGCTGCTCAAATGGAACTTAACTCTCACCAGTAGAATACAAACGGAACAAGGTTGGCTTGCTACAATCTACATGGTATGGTGAGTCTTATTTAAGGAATGTAGTTTGTCTGAGTTATTAACCATGATTTGTCCTGGGATTGGGATTGATAGTGGAGTGGTTCCTGTTGCCTTCTCCACAGTGGTTTATGGAGACACTACCTCTAGTTTAGCTGGCTGTTGACTCAGCAAGAAAGGAAGGAAAGCCTGGAGAATCTGATACTCATGAGTCAAGTGGATGACAGAATGTGGTTTGGGGGAGGAAGCAGAGGGAAGGAACTTCTTGAGATCTGCAAGGGATAGAGGGAGGTGGAGAGCCATGATCGCCTATATTAAGACTGATGTTTGTTATGGCTATATTTTTCATTATATTTTTGAAATCAGTTTAATTTCTCTTAGATATATAAAAAAGGATCAGTATTTTGAAAAAGTTCTTTTAAGTTTGTTGTTTGCTAATATTTTAAGCAGATTAAATTAAAATTGCTGCAATTTATCAGCATGTATTTTATGGTGAATAGCTCTTGGCATGCCACACATACCGGAGGATCTTCCTTTTTTAGGATATACAAATGGGTTATGGTAGTTTGTCCAATATGGAGCCTGGACATAATCACTTCTTCTCTTCTAGTTTGGCATTTCTGATCCAATAGTTGGTTTAATTTTAAATAATTTATTGTTTGTGCAGGAGTTCTATAGGTTCTACCACTCCTCCCTAATGTATTTATTAATTGTTCATTTCAGGTTTGTATATGGGATTTTGGTATGTAAGGTGTCTGAAAGAGTCTTACTAATTAACCCATAGCTGAGGAGAAAGAGATAGATTTATACTTTTCCAAGGTTATTTGTGTGTAAGTGAATATAACGAACCCAATGGAAATTGGAACTCAGCTCTCCAATTAACAATTCTGAGCCATTATACATTACACTGTCAACACATCCAAGCTTACAGCACCTGATATTCCCAAGCAGTCACCCATCTAGGTACTGACCAGGCTCAGCATTGCTTAATTTCAGTGATTGTATGGGAATCTGCTTTTTCAACATAATATGGTTATAAGACTTTTTTTTAATCAATTCACCCTAAGAAAGGTGATAATGGCACTAAGATGCAAAGTGCTACTGGGAGTGAAAGAAAATGAGAAGACTTTAGAAGGAATTGAAAATCTAAAGAGGAAACAAGGAATAAACCTCTACTCCTGTTCAAAAGATAGGAGAGGGGTATGAACTGGACAATAAACAAACTGATTTACACCAATGTGTAATTTCGGTGAAGAAGTACAGGAAAACTGTTATGTCAATAGTATTTTTTAGTGATGAATGTAGAACTACATTGGATGGATCTAATGGCTGAGCAAGAGGTTGGGTTCTTTTATAGAAATAGTCAACCAAGACATGTTAATCCTTTAGCATTCAACCTACCCAAACTCTCCCCATAAATATCGGCTGTCAATGTTCAACCACTGTAAACTGCCTTATGTATATGACAGCATCATTGCAAATAGTGCAGGGATTCGTACAAACAGCGAAACTTTGACCACAAATGGTTAGACTTTGAGAGCCAATGCTTATGGGGCGGAGTTTGAATGTGAAAGTGTTGAAGAACAACAGAGTGGAGTTGAAGCTGGATTTGTATTGTAAGCATTAAAATTATAGTCCCCATTTTAGTTTGATGATTCAAGATAAATGCAGAGAATTGTTCTAAATTCTTAAAGATCTCTGGGAAAGCAATAAAAGTAATTTTTAAGCTAAAACAGCAGAAAAGTTAACAAAACTAACAAAGTCAATAATATGTAAAATAATAATTTATTCAGATATATGATATTACGTTAATCAAATATGTGTTTCTATGGCCTTTATCTTTTGGATTTATTTGTAAATGAAAAAAATTATGTTGCACACCTGCAAAACAAGTTACAATATTAGTAAAAATATTGATAAGTTGAAGCTCACATGATATAATATATTCTCAAAATCTTGGTTGGTTAACACTAATTTCATTGATTTGCATAACAAAATCTGACAATGTAGAAGTTGGCTAATATTTCTGTGAGGCTACATAGAGAAAGTAAAAAAATAAAAAAAAAAAAAAAGCTCAAATAAATGTGCTTAACATTGTGATTGTTGCTATTTTTATAGCATCTGAGAATTTAGAAAGATTTGGGAAAAGAAATAGGATATTTTTTCAACTTACATCTTTGAGGTTGGTGTGGACGTGCAGCACCTGTCGGTTGCTGAGGATGGCTTTTTGATAGACTTGGATCTTGCAGCTGATCATGTGCTGGGATCGGTCAAGTAGTTCCAAAGAGAAGGAACAATGAAGATTATTCTGGTTACCACTCCAAATGTGTCGGAAGGGAATTTCCTAGAAAGAAAACAAAAACAATCATGAAATACTTTTTTTTTTTAAATTGGTATCACCCCAAGCAAGACTGTAACCCCTTGCATATTAGTGGCCCTACTGAGTGTGAGGAAGAAAAACATTATGAACAGAAAGAGAAAAGAATAATCAGGAGGACAATAGATAGTGATTGACATTGCATTTAAATTTTTTCAGTTTAAAGTTGGCTGGAAAGCATGGAGCTGGAAGGGAGTTCCACAAGTGAGAAGTGTGAGAAAAAAAATCTCTTAGCATAGAATTTGCGGTAAGATCTAGCCAGCCTAACTGCAAATTGATGAAATCTAGATGCCAGTTTACTACTCTGCTTAAATTCATAAAGTCTAGCTACCATAGCAAAGAGCTCATCCGAACAATTACCATGAAAGTTGTTATGCCATAGTACCTATTCTATTGTAATGGACTCTCCCATAGATAATAAGTAGGAGTAGCAGTGGCAAGTCTGGCAGAATGGTGTTGAGCGTGTCAGTCGAGATTCGGGCATTTGAAGTACCAACCATCACAACTAGATTGCTGCGCCATTGACTCTTATTTTCCAAGTTCCTAATGTTTTGTACGTCGGACCTAATTTAGGACGACTTATTAGAAATACAAGCCTCCACTGTGAAAATACTCCACAACAAAAGTATTTATAAAAATGGCAGAGAGAGGCATCCTTATGGCGGTGGGCAAGTGACTGAAACTGAGCCACCATATCAGGACCAATAATATTGCAGATTCTTCTTTGGATCTTACATTTCTAATATTCAAAAGCTACTCTGATATTTTTAACAAATTTTATATTTCATTAGAAGAAACAGAATTGAATCCTTTTCTCAATATTTGATTGGTGGTAGACTTTCATTGCTAATTTGTTTTTATTTCAGAGTGACAAGTTAGCATCCCGCTATGAAGTGTCTTCAATCCTCATAGGGTGCTCCAAACTTTCAACTTGTGCCACAATAAACTACGCTTAGAAAATTATCCCCCAGTATGAAGTGTAGCAGTCCACGGTATAAGTGCAGTGTTCATAGATGCCATGCTTCAGTAAATGGTAAAAAGCTTAGAAATTTTAATTCCAAGCTGATGAGTACAGGACCTGTGGTAGCTACCCAGAGAAGTGGTTATTCTTCAGCATCCTGATTGGAAGAAAATGTGCAAAAGGTAGAATTCTAACACTGGACTGGAATTCTACCATTATACTGTTCAAAGTAAAACAGGTTTTATGAAAATCCACCAGATAAAGTTAATAACAATTCTAAATAGGGTTTTTTTCCCCACCCACCTTGTACACACACACACACACACACACTAGGTACAGCCTAAAAGCTTGTGGAATTTAAAACATAAGATGGCTTCTTCAAAGAAAGGAAAAAACTATGGAAAATGTCACTCTATACTTCATGGTGGATTGAACTTTAATTAAATATAAAAGATCTGACAAAATTCTGAAAACAATGACTAATTTGACAGATGTGTAAAGTAATTAATCTGTGCAAATGTTTATAAAGTATTAATGTAAGAAAACTCTCATGTTACAGTGAGTCCTCGTCAAGATCATTGATATTAATTATTTGATGAATGGGATTGTTCTTTTGTCTAATTGTGCAAATTACAATATGCGATAATCAGTTTCTGTTATTTGATAACTACTCCTTTGTTATAACTCAATCTTGCAAGCATAACTGAATGATATTGAAAAATTAATGTTTGGACAAGTCTCTAGTATAAAATCAAATACATTTTTCTCTCTTAAGGAAAGAAAAGACAAAGTAATTAACTTTTTTTTTTTAATGTGCTATTAAAAATGCACTAGTTTTGTTTTTATCAATGCAAGGCAGTAAAGCCACTAAGATACAAGGGATTAAAAGTTAGGGAAGAATTAGGAACAGAATTAGTTAGAGTTCCCATGAACCAAGCAGGACACTATAGAGTTTTCGGGAAAGTTTTAATGAAAGCCAAGATCAACGCTGTATGTTATATATAGATGACTGTCTACTAGAGCACTAGCTAATCCCTGTTGCTTGTTCAGCACCCACAGAGCCTACCTGTGGTTTATACTGCAACTATGCTGAGTGGACCTTATTTACAGTTTCTGGGAGAGAGTGCATTATCTAGTGTGATCAACAATCTGAATGAGGACAGCACGCTCAAATCCTCGGTCACATTGACTTGTGACTTCATGCTAGCACAACCATCAATGACTCCCAAATTTCACTCACCTGTGGTATTGTTTTCAGGCACATTCCAAATGTGCTGCAGACTGATAACATCAAGAGGTCACCTTCCTGACAAAGCGACCTTGGTGAGATTCAAACCCAGATCTCATGGTCAGAAAGCGAATGTTCTAATCACTCAACTACATACCCATGTGTGTGTGTAACAGTTTCTCACTTGTGAAACTCTCTTCCAACATCTTTCTTTCCAGCCAACTTTGACTTTAAATTTTTGAATGTCAAGTGTTACCTTTTGTATTAATTCCTATTCTTTTATTGTTCTCTCCCCTTAACAATGTTTTTTTTCTCATATTATTTCACACTCAATAACCCCTTTCAATGGCTTTTATTTATTTATTTATATATATATATATATATATATATATATACATACATATATCATAGCTGAGTGGTTAAACATTTTCTGACAATGAGGCTTGGGTTTGAATCTCACTATGGTTGAATTATCATTGACTGCACTACACAGTTGGAAAATACATGAAAAACATGCCACAGATTGACCCAAGCGTTGTGAGTGGAAAAGGATTGTTCATCAATGGTTGTACTAGCACAAAATCACAAGTCATCGTTACTGAGGGTTTCAGCATACTGATTTTATTGATCACACTGGTTGATGCACTCTCTTCCAGAAACTGTAACTAAGGTCCACTCAACATAGTTGCAATATAAACCACAGGTGGAAACTGTAGGCATTAAGCAAACACAAATGTACCTGAGCAGGCATCTGCAACAGGGACTGACTAGTTGTCTTAGCAGACAGGCATACTTGGATATGATATCAGCCAATATATATATATATATAAGGGAGGCACAGTGGATAGTGGCTTGGATTGAGGAATCAGATAGCCAAGTTTGAATTCCAGTCAAATCCACATTCAATTACATGCTACTACCCTTAGGAAAGGTATTAATCCTCCTCTTCTCCCTCCAGCTATGGGTAAAATAGCAGGACAGACTGGGCACATAGTGCACCAGGTCTCTGTATTTGGCCCTTTAAAATGTGTGGTTGTTTCTGAACAAAGCCTTCACTACTATAATCAAATCATATGTGCTGATGTCTGGCTGTCAATTCCTAGGAACTAAGCTGCTTGACCCTCATATGTCGAATACGATGGGCGAGTCCACCATCACATTATATATATATATAAATAATCACAGCTAGAAAAGAAAAGCAGCTGTTGAATTCAATAGTGATGGAGAAAAGGGGAAAATTTTTAGCTAATCTGAAATGAAAGTGACTGTAATTTTTTATTGGATGGAGATGAAAGGGAATTACTGAAGTGTACAATTTATGGCCAGAAAGAAATTGAAAAACCATACAACAATGACATCAACCCAACCAGTAACTGCCACTATATTAATTGATGTGTTGGTAGTGGAGAAAAACAGGATAAAGAATTGAATTTGTAATAAGAGCAGTAATATCAATGGCAGCCATAACTATAATAAAAATGTTGTCAAATGGTGTAAATACAGGAGTAGCACAAGGAATAATAATTACTGGAAATGTCTATTTCCTGAAGAAAATGAATGAATACTTTGAGTGATTACATATGTGCAGAGTGCGGCAGAAACACCTCCCACATAATGGTCTGACATTAAATAGATGAAGACATGAATGCCACTAATGGCTTACCAATATGTGAGAGGTATTTCTGCTGTACCCTGTGTGTGTGTGTGTACATACTCAAGCTTTGTGAGTGAGATTTGGTAGACAGAACACTTGGAGGTCATCGATAGCTGTGCTAGCACAAAGTCATGAGTCATCATGACCGAGGGTTTGATCATGCTAGATAACGCACTCTCTCCCAGAAACTGTAAATAATGTCCACTCAGCATAGCTGCAGTATAAAACCACAGGTAAGCTTTGATGAACAAACACAAAATGTGCCTGAGCGAGCGTCTGCAATAGGGATTGGCTAGCTACCCTAATAGATAGGTATCCTCAAATATAAGTGGCCAGCTATTATTTTATATATATATATACACACACATACACACTGTTTGACAGAAATACCTCCCACTTAATATTCTTTTTTCCAGATACAAGTCCTACTTTTTAACCAATATGGAGGAGTAATGGTATTTGCATGTAAGTGAATGTAACGACCCTGATTCCTGTATGGATATATCTAATCTCACCATTCCCATATCATGTTGCAAGATACTTTCAAATGCATTTTTTATAATTATCAAAGTATATGAAAGGATTTTAGGTTGGACCCATTTCCTAAAATCTGACCAAACATCAGAAGTTATGTTTTGGCAGTTCTTGGTTGGCTATCAACATTTTAGGAACATTGCATTGAAACCAAGCAATTTTTAGTTTCAAAGAAAATGGTTGCTGATTAAATAGATTGTTGACTTTGTTGCAGCAATAGAAAATAATCTTTATTTTCCCATTAAAAATAAATCTAGACATACTAATCAAATAGTATTCAGCAGTAATCATAAATTGTTTTGGTAATCTATATTATTGTTATGGTAATTTACCCATGCACGCATAGACTTTGCCAGCTATAAATAGGAGCAGGTACTGCCTTTTGGAGAGGGATGTTTCCAGCAGTTAGCTCTGACAGTTGGACTGAACATTCTTGCTGTAACATTCTCCTTTGTATATGTTTGTATTACTGTTTCTCTTAATATATTTGTTTAACTCAATTC